AAATATAACTCATTATTTTTGCATTAGATGGAGGGATTTGCAGTGAGTAATTGTGGCTTATGAGCTCGGTCTTTCTAAAATGTTTAAATATTAATAATTGCATCGCTAACGCAGGACAGACCCACTGGAAACGAAGAACCTGGTGTCAGACCCGTCCTACAGACATCACTCCCACCATCCTCGACTGGTTCTCTGTTCCTTACCCATCCTACAGCCTACCTGGCACCCCTGCCTCCCAGGTCCACCTCACTGGCCGCTCATTACTCCCTGCTTTGGTAACTGAGCCCACCAGCTGGCACACTGTCTACTCCAGCCAGTCCCTGCATGAGGTCAGGACATCACCACCACTTTAGCTTGATGAATCATTTTTATTTCTAGCTCTAAATTTTTATTTTGGACTCTACTGTGGTAGCCTTGCTTGAACTCAGTTTAAAACATTCCCTTATCTAAACTGATGATGAGCTATTTTCGCTCCTCTTACTTGAAGCCAACTTTTTTCTGATTGGCTGCCCCTTACAAGCTAAAAGTTTGAACAGCAGTGGGCTGCTGTGCTTACAACTAGAGTTGTAAGCCTGACACAACCATATAAGAATATCTGCTTTGACTGGACTCACACTGAGCCAAGAGTAGGGAAAAAAACGTCTAAAACCAAGTGCTTAGAGCAGTGTGAAGCTTTTGGCTCAGAAGGATTAATTGCACGTACACTGACATCTTTATTTTAAATTCGCTGTTGCAAAAGTATTAATAAGACAGAAAATCAAGATGACAGCAACACTTTAATGAGAGAATAAAATGTCTTTAACTAAAACTTTCGCTTTGATTTCAGGTCACCATGTACTACCCGATTCGCTCTATTCACCAGGGGCCGTACCACCTTCTGCACAACCTGCACTTCCGTATGCCCTTCCCTATCGATCAAGATCTGTACGTGTCGCCCACCTTTCAGGACCTGCTGAACCGCACCACGCTGAGTCAGCCGACACACTGGTTTAAAAGCCTGGAGCAGTACTACTACAGAGCTCGCTGGGAGCTGTACGACACCAGGTCTGTAACAGCTGCTGTCGCTCGCTTTGTTAGAGCTGATCCAGAGAAGCAAACACGACCTTATTCCTGATATGTATCAGTCCCTGCAAAGGACGGGAGTTAAAAGGGCCTCACGGAAAAGTGGATCACAATACTTGACCTTGATCAGTGGATGACAGGGGCATCCACCGATTCCATTGAGATAAACCTAAAACAGCTGATTTAGTGATAAGGTAACAACTCTGTCTCAGCAAACAAAGAGCAGAGGTCAAAAACAGAACAAGAATCACGTGTTGAGCAAATTTTATTTGCCATGATTGTTCAAAAAAAAATTTTTTGTGATCAATCAGTATTTAAAACTCTTTTTTTTTTTTTGTTTTTTTTTAAACACTGTTGCATTTGATGTTTTTTATAGTAAATGACAGTCAGGCTCCACGGTGCCGGGCAGTGAGCACAGGACCAACTAGAGTACACTAAGCCCTCAGTGCACCGTCATGAAGTTTGAGACATTCACACCAGTGGCCTGCTGTAGGGCTCCAGATCAATGTCCCAGATGTTGGCTTGATGCTATACTCTGGTTAAAGTGTTTCTTTAATTATTTTTGAGCAGTGTATATACAAAACTGTTTACTGTAGTAGTATGTT